AATTGGTCCGATGTTTTAACATTTTTTCTGTATTTCGCATGATGAATTATCACGACCAACATACTTTGAGACAAAAGTTAGGTTTAGTTCAGATTTCAAGATCTACGAGGGTTTTTACTCGATGAACATTAGAAATATGCTAATTAAATTATTAACAGCATTGCCTCCATGAAGAGCTTACAACATCATAAGTTCTTTAATAAGTTGTGAGGTTTGATATATCATGGCATGTTTAAACAATGGTCTCTCAACATGACGGGTTGAATTGTTTAAACATTCGCTTAGAAATTTATATCTTTTATAAATGGAGCTTTTTAAAAAAAAATCTATTTCTTTTATAAATGGAACTTTTTTTGGGAGAATATTTGTGTCTCTGCCTGATTTTAGCAAATAATCGAATAAATATAAAGGGAGCAATCTTAAAGGTGCTAATTTTCCAAGCAGCCGGTTAGTCCAGGCTTAAAGGAGCGTGCTTTTCAGCTGTTTTTATTTTAAACAACATTAAATATCCAATTTTTTTTTCTCCCAGCAAAAGAAACAACATCCAACTTTACCTAAAAATTAATAAAGAAAGAAACAAATAAATAAATAAAAAGAGAGTCCAAAAGGCCTGTCAACAGAACCCTTTTTGCTTTCTTATTATTCCACGAATTTTCCTTCCTTTCATGATTTATGCTTTTCTCGTGTTTGTCCTTAAATTAACATTTTAATCACCAGGGACAAAGGGCTGTAGTTCTTGTCTGCTGCAATGACATCTTTATCACTAATGCAGCGCCGAGTCACCAGCTAATCATATACCATTCGTGCACTCGATTATATTTAATAATAATATTATCATCTTCCAATCGAAAATCAGCCAAGAATAATAATATCATGTCGAATTTTTTCACATACTAGCAAAGAACCCCTTTATCTTGGACCGAACAGAGGGACATTTTGGACCTATGCATGTCCCTAAAAGGCTTCGTCTCGGATCTCGGGATTTACGGGATGTAAAACTTTTATAGGGTATTCCTTCATTTCTGAGAAGATAAAGATTATGAGGGAATTGGGGCCGCAGGACATGCGGATACTAGCACTTTGAAATAAGAAACGCATCCGTGAAGCCCGCTGTCCCTATATATCAACGGATAGGCCGTGGAAGCCCTTATGGGGGTTTTGGCTAATCAAAATATGGGTCGAATTTTTTTTCAAGTACTAGCAAAGAACCCGTTTCTCTTGGACTGAACAAAGGGACATTTACATACAAGCAACTAAGCAAGCAACTTTTCTTTTTCTCAGCCACTTTTTTTTGGGGGTTCTTTTTCCCGGGAAAATTCTTTTCTCGGGAATCTATGGAATACGCCTACGGGGTACGGGCTAATCATTTCATAATCTATATCGGTGCAGTGATGGGTATTGAAAATGGCTGGTCATTGTTTATTGCATGATGTTTGGTCAAAAGTGTTGTTTGGAATCATTACTTGTTTATATATGTGCAGAACTGATCGAATATAATAAGAATCCTTTTCTTTACTGCGCTTCCCATTGAGGCGTCGGCCTGCGGTTCTCTCTCCTTCACAAATTTTAATCACGGCAGGAAGCTGATTTCTCCATCATGATCAAGCAAAAATCACAAGGAGATTAGTGGAGGAAAAATGGACATAAGAAGTGATTGGTCACGTCGTTCTGTCAGCATGACCTATACCTGAAGAGAAAACGGTGTGAGATTGATGAGAAAACAAACAATAGGGTGTTAATTGCATTAGATTATTTACTAATCATGGTCCCTTCCAAATCATCCATATTCTGTACCAAAGTTATGCTGCTTTTATTTTCTTTTTTGGTTGCATATTTCTACATCGATAAGGGAACAATAAAAACAACACTAAGGACTTTCAATCTCTCGATCATAACGTTCGATATAGTTTTCGATGCGGGTGATTTCCATTTACGTAACCTGCTAATAAAAAGATTTATTATATAGACTCCAGACAGAGATGGAGTACGACATGGCTCATTTTAAGCTAGTTCTCACCAACTTTCCCGAACAATCACGGAATTATATCTTTAAATGAATTTTGCTCACGAGTGCAAGAAAGTTCAGGAACAAAATCGGTTAAGAAGAAAAAAGATGTATCAATTCATGCATAGTATGAAATATGAAATTTACAAATGATGAAATATTAAGATCTTGCTATCGACATCATAATAATGAGTGTAAAGAAAGAAAACTAAAGCATACACTATTAGCATAAAGAAAAATTTAAACAAGTGGTTTTTATCCTCCATTTATTTGAGGGTTTTTAAAAAAGAAAACTAGAGCATACACAACTAGTGTAATTAAAAATTCAAACAAGTGATTTTCATCCTCCATGGATTTGAGGGTTTTAACTATATACCCACTCTCTCACTAATCATCAGCAAGGATTGATAAGGTTACTCATGGAAATATTTTTATAAACCGGCAGATTAACGGTGTACGCTACAATCACTCCAGAAAAATATTATAAATTCGACGAGATTCGGTCAATTGTATCTTCAAATTGTGAGCTACCAATCTAAACAGGGAAGCTAGCCACTTTTCAGTTTAGCTTAATTCAAATTGTGTTACTGGGGTCCTTTCAATGAACAAATTATAAGCAATTTTTCCTAAAGGAGGTGGTCAAAGCATGAATATGAAGATGCCAAGCTTAAGGAAGACGATGACTGTTTGGGATTAATATAATTTAAACATGGTCTTCTTTTTCCTGTGTTCCCTTCTCCCTTTGGTAATAATTTAATCAGATGTGATTGGAAGCTTGATTATCAAAAAGCATCTGTCTCCTTGGCCAGATGTTGGAGAGGAACAACCCGGTTTAACTCTCGCAACGATTCCCGCAAGGAAAGGTTTAAATTTTGTTCTTGATTATATTCTCGTGTCTGCTGCTGTTGCTGCTTGTCTTGTCACAAATGTTCATCTAAAACATGGCATAACGTATACCTTTATTGGCCGAATTTAATGGGACAAAGTCGATTTCCTGATGAATGCTTTTGACCATTTATCTGTACATTTAGATGAAACTACACGGCATCTATGTTCTTCTTATGTTGGATGCAGAATAATCTTTGTACGGGGCTATAGTGCGACGGATCCGCATAAGATATTTGGAGTTAGAAGAGCAATTGACATAAGTAGGTTTTTTTTGTCCGATTGGCCGTAACCGTAACGCTTAAACTTTTGATCAGAATAAAGTCGAATTGATTATGTTAATAAGCTCGGATCTCTCTCTCTCTCTCGATATCCTGTCATGAGGTAGTAGACATAAGTCTCTCTCTCTCTCTCTCTATATATATATATCCCGTAATGAGATAGTAGACATAAGCCGCGACTTATGATAATAAATTTATGCATATTTTGTTAAACCCGTCTTCACGTAACCGTCTCGCATTATTACAAAGTATCTACTACAATATATGTGACGAAATATTATTCGAACTCTTAGGATTGGAAAGTGTTTTAATATCCAATCCAAAAAGTTTAGATCGATTGGTTAAGGGAGATTGCGCGTAAATAAAAAGCACTCGAACCCCGTAAATAAGTGGTGCGAGATCTTTATGGCGAAGCAAAGACTTAATCAGCAAGTTGGTGGCTTGTAGCTTCAAGGGAATTGAAGCAATAATGGCTCCTCGAAATGATTTCTGTCGTTGAATGGGAGGCGGCCATCGTTTATGCCTTCGTACGCGAGGAATGGCAAGTGGGCTTCCAAATTGTTGAAAAGTAGATTCCTCGATTTGTCTTTTGAGACGTGAAAGAAAGGGGCGGGCGAAAGAAGTAAGAAATCCAAAATGGTAAAACACGGGACGGTTTGCTCATTGGCCTTTTGAATCGGGGCACTCACACGAAGCTTCATTTCGACACTTTCATGAACGATTATTTTCATTGGAAAAAAAGAAGAACCATAGTCATAATAACGAGACACTACACGAGCTCGGAATCACGGGTATTACGCGAATGTCGCCCGTATATTAATAAAGTTAGGTAGGTCGATACATAGGCCATTTCGTGGTAGCGATGGCTCGTGACGGTCAAGACATCTAGTTCGATGCATTATGCTGGTATATTGAGTCAGTTTCATTCGATGCTCTAAAAATGAGCAAAAGTAACCCCGGATAACGAACCATTATAGCTTGTAAAATGCAACATAATGTAAATACGAGTAATGTGGCAACATCTATTTGCTTTAGAATTTGATTATATAAGATCGACGGGTTGTGCATGCATTCATCAAACTACTAATAACCTTGCGTTTTCGGTTCATGACTACCTTGAATAAGAATTAAGTGCCGCAATGTATGAGAGAGAGAGAGAGAGAGAGAGAGAGAGAGAGAGAGAGAGAGAGAGAGAGAGAGAGAGAGAGAGAGAGAGAGAGAGAGAGAGAGCACAAAGTAACATTCATAAGCACATACTTTCCCTAGGTCACGACCTCAATTATTTATCGTATATTATCGTCCAGAAAGTTTATTTTGTGGATCGATTCTCAAAACACTCTCTTTGATATTTATTCTATTTATTATAAACATGCACAGAGAATTAACTGTCGGAAAACTCATGAAACGTCGAGTCCACATCTTCGATATATGCAGGTGGCCCGGACCTTGAATGATTTGCATACTGTTAGTGGCATTTGAAATCACCTACTCTTTTTACCTCGTCTGTCTACTTAACAATGATTTCAGCGACACGACTAACCATCTCGCGATGCTACCTATGTCGGACCTGGCATAAGCTATCGAGAGCGACGACATTCCTAACTTCTCAGCACAAGATAGAACTCTAGGGCATGCACGGTCCGAGTAAGATTCATCTTTTACGATCAGCAAGTGAGGCTGTCAACTATGCTCGACTCTTGCAAATTGGATTTTTCCCAAAATGACAAATTACCAATGGAAACAAATGATCGAACAATCTGGCAAAAGGCCACCACTCGGGAAGTACTTTGTCAGGTTCAAAGATTCGCATATCCACAAGAGAGACCGGATGCCAAATGATGACGTCATTATTGTTCATGCCACTATGTATATACAAACCAAAGGATCAAATAACCAAAAATCTGACGACCCAACAGAAAAAAACACAGAAGAAGAGAAAAAAAATGATAAAGGGTCGACAGAATATGACAACTGCTACTCTTTGTTAATAACTACCAACTGCAAGTTTTACCTCTCATCACCTAGGACACTTGCTGTCTCTTTATTCTTAAAAAGCACCCACAGATCTCTTCCTGATCTAGAGGGCTTTTCCATGATTCCGAGTTCCTGTACCGAAGCATCGATTCCGACTAGGTGCGACTTACATTAGCGCTTTTTTTCCGGGTATTACTTGGAGTCCCGATTGATGAATTTAGACACGTAGAGTCCACATGATCCGACGATTGGTCATTTCGTCGTGGACCTTCGATCCTTCGTCAGTACCCGTAATATTGGAACTGTGGTTGACTGTACGTGGTGAAAAACGGACCTGCTCTTCCTCCATACTGCTCCTCCTCATGCAAAGTCATCTACCATCGTGAAAAACCACAAAATCTTGATCAAATGAGAGCTCAAACTTAAGCTGGAAACAGAGCAAAGTTTTGACAGTCTAACATGAGCTCAAATTCGAACTTCAAGTTGACACGCCTGAATCGTCGCAAGCATTCGTTGTGAATCACCAAACGAAGACGCATAATACGTCCGAGTGAATACGCTTGCGAACGGGTAAACGACGAGTTTTTGAAGGGGCAAAAGATGAAAAAAGAGAGGAGGAGAAACTTTACCCAGAACTCATCATCGTCATCATCTCTAGCAGAGGATGCCGCCTTGGGAACATCGCCAGCTTCGTCGTTACGTGCGAATCTGCCACGTATGCGCGGTCTGTTGTCGGCTAGCGTCTTGCGGCATGCGTACTGTCGCATCGTCAATTTCACCAGCCAGACAGAAGGGAAAAAAGCAGCCGCATTCAGAGTTCAGTTGGGACACGTCGGAAGTCTTATGTTAAAAGAAATCAATAAGCATGTAAAGGAAGATGAAATAAGAAATGGGCCGTTTCTCGTTTCTTGATTATGGGGGATTGATGTTTTACCTTGATCGTCTTGTTGAAGTTTCTCTGGGTGCGTTTGGCTCTGTACTTGAGGATCCTCTCCTTCCTTTCTTCTGCACTGTAACGTCTCACTTTGGCATTTGCTTCCACAGTGAAGGAGCTCTCTGTGGCCAGAGGGCTCGAGAAGGATCGTGGTGTGGATTGGGGCGTTCCAGTGCTCCGCTGGGTAAGCAACAAATTGTAGATTCTTCTTCAAGATCGTGATTTAAAGAGAAAGGAATGATCTTGTGCGAGCTGAACACCGAAAGGACAGAATAGCTTAAATTTTCTTTGACAAAATCGAGGAATTATACCTGCAAGTCTCCTGTGCTACACACCCTCCTGATTTGACCATCCAACAGGCAATGCTCAGGCGAGCTCAAGGCGTGGTGGTACTGGAATTCCGGAGACTCCAGGACAGCATCGAACAGGGGCTGATGAAACGGGGCAGACCTCCCATCCACAGAGTTGCTGCTATAGTTCCTCTGCAAGTACTTGGCCACATTCTCGGGCCCACCGTAACTATGAGCAAGAATTGGGTAGGTCTCGTAACCCAACTGGGGTTCCTCGCTCTTGACCTCATAACCGCCAAGAATCTGAACCCCATTGGACATATTGGAACCATTCGGCACCGGCCGAAGCTGGTTTGCCTGATAAAGGCTCAAGCTTCCGAGCTGGTGAGATGGAGGTGAAGATGAGGAGAAAGAGCAGGAGAGTTGGTGAAGAGGGTGGTCATCAGGCGATTCATCGAGTGGGTTTTGGGTGTCCAAGATGGACTGGAGGATGTCAATGGGCGAGTCAGTGTCGGTGAAAGGGAAGAGCGGGTCAGACAGGAACTGCAGCTCTGCATCGCAGGCATGGAGATCATATGGCGATGACATCGAAACGAAACTCAAAACGAGAACTTTCTCAGAATTCAGTGAAGAAACAGCAAGGGCAAAAGACGATCTTTTTGCCTTCGGCTTTTGCCGGGTCTCTGTGTAAGAATTTCAAAACCAGCGACGCGAGTAGCAGAGACCAATGCACTTGCGCTTCGCAATATATAAGACCCATATTTTCTGATTGGTCCCTCGTATTCTTCGTGTTTTCCAGGAAGCGCCCCTCGGCAAAGTCAATTGCAAAGACGCCCTTTGACTTTGGAGTGCCAACCCAGCGTAAAGTTTTTCCCAAGTGGGTCTCCTCTTCCAAGCCGCGTGCATATTCTATTGGTTTTCTCGGGGAGATAAAGCAAGCCGATTTGAACAGAACGAGGGACGACCTGTGGTCTCTGTCCATACCCATCTCCGAATTCATCTCTCTTGGAAATCGATTTGCAGCTTCTCCTTGAGTCTCTGCATAGAAGCAGCAAGATTCTTGATTAGCGTTTGAGTTTCCGCCAGAAGTCATGCCGTCTCAGGAGTACATGGACAAGCTGCAGGTCCGGCAAAGCTACCGGAACCTGTGGCACACTGATCTGATGCACACCATTCAAGCTGATACTGGCTGTGAGCATCGCAAAATTTTGACTTTCTATGTCTTTGATTTTTTTTTTTTTTTGGTGTTGTGAAATTTTTTCCTTAGCCTGACGATTTTGGTGTTTTGGGGCGGCTGTGCTTGTTTTGTGAATGCAGATTGCTGCTTTGCCTTTTGGTGGTGAGTAGCCTGGATCTTTGATTTCTCTGTGTGCCTGTGGGCTGCAGATCTGGATCTGAGTAATCTCGATTTTGTGATGAGCTTGTTGATCATGTGAATTTTAGGGGTTATTGTTCTCATGTGCTTGCTTTACTGTGTTGAATTAGTGATGATTGTCTATTTCACCGAAATTTCAAGCTAGACGAAGGCGTGGATTTAATATTTGAAGGCTTAAATATTTGGGTACTCGCAGTTTGTTTTTATTGCGTGGCAGTTTATTCATTTTTGTGGGCATGGTTGAAGATGCGTTGACTTGTCAGGCGTCGACTTTAATGCGTCTCTTGCCTTTCCAGGGGGATGCTCATGCAGCCTAGAACATTGGAACTGAATCGTGATCACCTGTCATGCCTTTGATTTTGTTTGTTGCTGTTTCTATTTGCCCTTTCCCTCTATGATGCTGGTCCACTTCTGTTTCACGCATGATTTGATCAACCAAGACTAATGTGGATCTTACTCGGTTTAGACCTTAAATTTGACTCATAGGATTGTGTCTTCTCTCGCAATGAGCGGTTACACTGATCTTTTAATAACACAAAGTTCTAGGTGACAAAACTGCTTCGTCATGTGTCTGGTCATATATATAACTGAGGAGATATTATGAAAATTGGAGTCTCAGTTGATTACTTAATGAAGCTCTGTCGAAATTTTATAACGTGTTGTTTCAAGTAATTGATGTTTATTGTGCTTGCCGCATTACCTCAGGGCTAAATTTCCTTCTCATGCTATGTACTTGGTGATTCCTTGGGGTTATTCGCTACACTGCCCAATTAAGTGGTTCCTTGGCTGCTTTTCCTTTCGGTTGACTTGAATTTGGTTTAACACCAGAACCTTTAGTATGATGATATCATCGGTAGATTTGCACTTCTTGTTTTTCTTTTGAGTGGATTGATGGTCAACTTCTTCAAGCGAGGATATCACTTTAAAGCTAACGTTTGTCTTGCTCGGTGTTGGCTTTGTAAGTGAAACTTGTAGCTGTCATGTTCTATTCCTTCCACCAACTTTTGTCTCACCATATATATGTTTTGATACTGTATCATCAATTGAATGTCCGTAGCCATAGCACTTTGTTTTTGGAGTATCATCTTTTGGTCTTCTAACAAATTAATTTCGTTGTAGTGCACCATGTGCTTCATACTTGCTCCGTAAAAGAGCCCTTTACAATGACATGTCGAGGTAACGCTCTGGTTCTCAAAAGTCTTATTCAAATAGATATGGCCTTTTTCATGGATGATAAATTCCTCTTGTTTGCTTTAGGTATGTCTGTTGTGCTGGTTACATGCCATGTAGTGGTAGATGTGGAGAGAGTCGATGCCCCGAGTTTTGTCTCTGCACTGAGGTATGGATCTTATCTGATAGTTTAGATTATGCTAACAATAACCTGTAAGAGATCCAACTAAACTGATAAAAGCTCTACATTGGGTCTTGTAAGCTTCATTTTCTAGCTTGTGTAAACTTATTGTTCTGAGGGTCTTCTGTTGTCAATTGTCGATCTTGCTCTGTAAAGAGTTAAACTCTGGGATAGTGTTCAATTACTACTTCCACGGTGGTTGTTACCCGGACCCTGCTTGACCACTGGATCTACATAACTTATGTGGAACCAGCGAGAGCAGATGGTCAGGTCCATTTTTTCTATCTTTTGCTAGGCAAGGACGGGGAGAGAAAGAAATGAATTGCGCGCTTGTTATGTTTATTAGTGTCTGAAATTTTCTGGGACTTGTAGATGTTTTGTCTAGATAACGCCATTACTCGACCTATTAAGTTTTGGATATGGCTACTTCATTATCTAAGGCTAATTTCATTGAGAGAGGAGTATTTTATACCCGATGAAACAAAAAAAAAAAAAAACAGGGGCTTGCCATTAGTAGCCGTATTTTGGGATTGCTAGAGCCTTCATTTGTCTTGTAACAGTGCCCTCCCTCTGGCTGCTTGCTCGCTCATTCAAAATGCAAACTTTATGGTATGAGCTCATGCAATGAAAAGACTCACCTTCTGCAAATGATTTTGTATCCATTTGTTGAAGGCATCTGCAAGTATCGCAGCCCATCTTCTTTGCCTTTTGTTGGTGCTACCCACTAAAATGCTGTTCACAGTGTGAAAAGCTGATGCAGTCACATCTTGTGTTTGACGTGAGAATGTAAAAAGGAACATTGGTCCAATAAGATCTTATATATCTGCAGTAGGGATGTAATATATAGTTGGATGTTGGTTTTATAGAAGTGGTCTGTTGTTTTGGCACTTTCTTTGATATATTTGCACCTCGCGATGTGCTTTCTATGTCATCTTACTGATGAACGCTAGAAGGCTTCAGATTATGGGTCATAGTCGGAGCTTTTCCATTAAAATTAGCTAGTGGTCAAGTATACATAAATATGATAAGCATGGTGTCGTAATTATCTTACCATTCTTTGTTACTGAATCCAGGTTTTTCTCTGCTTCGGAAATTCGGTGGCCTCCACTCGCTTTTTGTTGCAAGATGAGTTCAACATACAGACTACACAATGTGACAACTGTATCATTGTACATCCTCCCCTCCCGCTCTCTATACACTGTATGCAAATCATGTCAATATGCTGACTTTGCATATCTTACCTTGATTTCAGGGCTTTATGTTCTGCCTCCAACAACTTGCCTGTATATTCTCAATAGTTGCTATGATAGTTGGGAGTGAAGAAATTTCAGAGGCTTCTCAGTTGCTAAACTTGTTGTCTGATATGGTTTATTGCACGTGCGTCTCTTTCTCCTTTTTCCTCTTGGACTTTTTTTCTAATCAGATCAAAACTTCAAAGCATCTGACTTGCGATTTTTTTTCCCTTTGGTAGGGTCTGTGCTTGCATGCAGGTATTGAAACTGAAAGATAAGAAAATCTCACTTTGATGTTCTTATTTCCTCGATCAACGGTACTATTTCTTGTTGCTAATTGGTTCATTCATATTCAGACACAACACAAGGTTGAGATGGACAAACGAGACGGCCTGTTTGGTGACCGACCCATGGCCGTGCCTCCTGTTCAGCAGATGTCCCGCATTGATCAGCCTATTCCTCCCTCAGCCGGCTATCCACCTCCGCCGCCACTGCAGGCTTACAGCTATCCACCTCCCACTCAGGGCTATCCCGCTCCTAATTATCCTCCCGCAGGTTATCCTCCCGCTGGTTATCCTCCGCCTGGGTATCCGCCTGCTGGCTATCCACCTGCCGGCTATCCAAAGTGATCCATTTCTCTGCCTTAAACATTGATATACAGTTTCGCTGATGTTCTCATGTCGCTGTGAGTCATGTGCACTACGGTTGGGTAGACAAGTGTATACTTGGTGCGGGTATTTTGTTTCAGCATTGCTTTCTTGTGGCCTCTTAATGCAGCGGTATATACACAGGATTGCGTGGTTTTTGCTGTTTCATCTTGTTCGGACTTGTTATCTGAATGCCTTTTCTTCTTGTCCGTCTATGAACCATAATATGTCCATTAAAAGTACCCCTTGACTATATTTGAACATATGATCTATTATTTCATCACTTGCAAATTCTGGTGTGATTGTCTTGCCGATCTTTCCGTCGCCCTCTGTTCTGTTAAATTTACATGATTCATGTGTTGCTTCATTAAGTGTGGCTCTATTAACCTCTTTGTTTCCGCTGATCTGTTTGCTTAATTTTTCTGGTGCTGGTAGTTTAGATGCTGCTTCAAAAAGTCGATCTAATCTGAAATCGGTTCAATCGAAAACGATGCGACTCCGTGAATTCCTATCTAGTTGGAAAAAGAAAACTATTTCACTTGCACATCTAGTTCGAAATTCTGGCATGCAATGCTACATTACATTACCCATGTTACATCAATGAATGATTAGGGAGGACATTGCCCATCTTGATGAATGAATGTGTCGGCTCCTGATAGCGCGATTCGGTTACATAGTAATTTTTGTGATGTTATTCAGGTCCCAAAGTTTTTAGACTTTCGTTTCTAACCCGAGGACTCAGTTCGTATCTATGTTTGCTAGACTAATTGCTACCGCGAAAGCTAAGGATTGCAGTATTGTACTTGTGTTGTGAAGTGCAAGATGAATCGTTGGAAGGAAAAGTGTCCCAAATGGAAGTGAGATTGACAAGAAAGATTTAAACTGAGATGCCTCGCCTCTCATAAAGCTAGGAATGGTCACTGTACTGTTTATTTGCCATGATCACATAGCCATGGCTACAACTTAGGAACTGCCACACAGATTCTCGGATCCTTTCCGGTCTTCCCATCTCCGATGTTCTCGGTGCCATCTCAATTTCTGGCCGCCCTGCCACGCATGTCGGCCGTCTATGTCTTTACATGGTCCCCTAGTCAGTGGTTTTTTTCCTGTTCTGGATTGCAAAAGGCCCTTGGCCATGTGTGCTTACATTATCAGACCGGAACGACAAGTTTAGTGATTGAATCCGACTTTGATTGGGTTCGGATTTGATCTTAGATTTGCCCCGATGAAGAACCGGCCCGACACCGGCAATAAAAATAAAATATGATAAAGTGGTTGCAGAAAATTAAATAATTTCAAGTCCTAATCTACCAAAACAAAAATCTGGTCTAGCCAAGTAAGCTGGCGTCCACAACTATCCTATTGATTTCATCATATCAGTGGTTGTACAAAAGTTGTCTCAAGCTGCTCATATTCGCCGTCTGCGTAACATTTTGTTTTCTTTAAGATTGTCAAGATAGACATCCCAAACAATTAGGCAGATTGGTTGAATTTTTCTTTATTTTTTTAAAATGGAAGCTGTTAAAAATAATTAAAGCAGGCTTAAGGGAAACGCTCGTGGAAGTGGTCATTATCGCGTTGCGTGTTTTGACAATTAAAAGTGACTAATGTTCATTGATTGTTCTTAGTGGTTGAGGAGGATGGTACTCAATTCTAGACACGCTTCTCAGCTCCTTTTGTACTCTATTGCCGTTCTTGAGCTTTAAAAATTGCACAAAAAACATAAATAATAATTATAATAGTAATTTGAAGAATGGGATAATGACTTATTATTTTCTCATAAATTGGCAAAATGGGTCCAAAGCCCTTTTTGAGTTTACATCCCACAAAGAAAAAGAGATGGCAAATTTGAGTTTATATGCTACAAATTAGTGATAAAAGCAACAGGGTTTTGAATGTTAATTGAGATCTAATCCCTCTTGACCAAATTATCCTTGTCAACGCGAGAACTCGCTCGTTTGACTCAGGAAACCATTTTAATTACATGGGAAAAAGTTTTGTATTTTACGATAAAGTGTTCCTCAGCCAGTCAGTGTCGCGATGTCGTGGCCAAGCAAACAGGCAAACGTGTTATGGTTCAAAATATTAGGCCGTCTCTTTCGATGTTCATAATTTATACGCCGTGCTCTAGGGTTTTGAGAGAGGGAAATGTTCGAATAAATATTGCCATAAAATGCCTGCGATCCAATAGATATGTTGGATGATCTAAGCATTCATTGGATTCCGATTGAAATGAGAGCGATTGTTATGTGCGGACAACCTCGCCGACCGATGCATTTCGAATGTCTGATCAATAAGAGAAGGGCACGTGCGAGGTGCTCTTTTCATACCACTCCCACCTTCGACTTCGGCTTTTCATTCACGTTTCGACTTCTTGTTAGCGAGAACCATTTTTAAAGGGACTTCCAAAAAAATTGATTTGATCGACTCGAAAATTACACTTTCGCATTAAAAAGCGTGTGAAAATCCGAGATTAAAATCGAGTTTCTTCTATATAATTCCAAAATAATTTTAATGAAAGACGTAGAGAACAATTTGATTTGAAAAGCTACAACATTACAAAACACCCATTCAAAATAAAAAAAAAGAGCAAAAAAGGTCACAGAAAATGAGAAAAAGGGCATGATTTAATTTTTAAAGCGATAGTGGCCCCAATCTCACTAAAAAAAATTATAAAAGCCTTTCTTTTTAGTCCATTAGAAAAAGAAAATCAAAATAGAGGATATAGCCTTTTCTCTCTTGCGCTTTTGAGACAGTGGGACTCAGCACTAAGGATTAAAATAGCAGCTGGTTTTCATTTTTATAAAAAATTCCAATGGAAATATAAATAAAAAAAACTTGAAATTTATCTAGAAGGGTTAGGTGCAATTGATGGGTAAGCATCAATGCGAATGAGCAAAGAGCAAACCGTGTGGGCTCAATCTTCAGCCGAAAATAGAAACACTTACACGCAATAATCGGATTGACATGCCACTTGGTACCTAATCAATTGTATGACCATGCTCTTTTCAATGTCTTCATGGTACCCAATGAAACTTCCTCAAGCCTATCCAGCCAGCCGCTCTATATTTATGCTTAGCCAAAATTATTTCCCTCCTCGACTATTAAAAACAAATTATTGCTTCGTTATTCGCATTATTCAACAAAAAATTTGCCAACGGAGATGCGGCCCTGCTAGTAAGGGAATTGAGGGATGGGGTCGAAGAGTATCGGGTTCGAAGTTCGATCTTCGTGAGCACCGTGCACACATATACATAGTACATAGGAGTGAGACAAAGAAAAAACAAAAATTTAGATAATTTCTTGTCAGCTTTCCAATGGTTAGGATCCGCAAGATAGAGTTCGACCCTTTTATTTAGTTTTCGCTTCTTTAAATTAGGAGAAGTGATATAACGGCTTTTAATTTCTTAATTTTTAAGAACGGTTTTTTCAAATTGCGCACTTTTTGATCAAACGGATTTTCTTCTGAAAAAATCATCTAAACGCACTTATTAGTGGCACGCCTGAAGGGTGTGCACACTGCACAGCAGTTTGAGAAATCTTGATAATGGATAGTTTCAACAATTAAAGAATAACAAGGATATTTAGGGTTTAATGATAATCTCCCACGCATTAACTTTGATTATCCATCCTACCTCAAGTTTTCATTCACCATCTTTGCTATATCTTCTTTTCCCCCTTACAATTAGGATGTTATTAAGATAAGAAATCCTCTGAATTTTTGTTTATAAGCGAATATAATTATTGGGTAATGACTAGATATTGCAATGGTTATGCACACTAATCAAGATCGAGCTGCTTGCTCGGACCCAATCCAAAAGCGGAAAAAGCAAAAGAAAAGAGAGAGGAAAAAAAGAAAAGAAAAGATGCAATTTGGGACCGGATGAGATCGCGAGAATTGCCACAAAACGCGCAAAGCTTTCAATGCACCTCTCAAAATAAAAAAAGTGAGAAACGATGATTAAATCTGAAAATAAAAAGGGGGCCAAAAAAGAGCAATAATTAGCAATAATTCACGCACAGATTTTGTTCGTCAAAGAAAAGAAGAGAAAAGAAAAATCCAAACCGACATTTTCCCGTCTTCTCGACGACAAATTATTGGCGCAAATCGTAGCCGAATCGACAATGCAGATGCCCCCAAAAACCAAAACTAAAAGGAGCCAAAGCCGCAAGCATTATTATTATTATTATTATTTTCAGCAAGATTTAAATATTACTATCAATATAATCAAGATCAAAGGCACCAAAGCTACTCCATGCAGAGCTCAGAGAAACAAAATTTGCAATGATTTAAATAGAATAAATTAAGAACCAATGCTCACAAAAAAAAATGGGATTCTTTTCTTTTAAATCAAGTAATTAGTAGATGGGAAATTTATTGGATGCAATTGACATTATTGGCTCAAAAAAATGTGGTGCCAAGATTTGATCAATTTCCCGCAAGTAAAATATACAAAATTCGTGCGAATTAATTTTTCACTTTTTCGACATATTTTTTACCCTTTTTTTGGGGTCGGTCGATCGATTTTCCACCTATATACAAAAGATCAATCCAACCCCCTCCAACCCCAAAAAAAAAAAGAAAAAGAAGAAAAAAAAGCAGAGATTCGAGAAATAAAAATCAAAACTTGGCCGTCCTTTTTGTTACTATAAACCAGTGATGTGGGCATACTCTTCGAAGCCGTGGAACTCCGGCACGAACGACGCCGCCCACAGCCGCTCGTTGATGGCGCCGACCACGTCGTCCGGCACCAGCGTCGTCCGGCAGAGCGGGCACGTCATCTGGTCGTACCCCATCCACCGGTCCAGGCAGCTCCGGTGGAACACGTGGCTGCAGTTCGCGAGGCGCCGGGTCTCGTCCCCGCCCTCGAAGTCGTACAGGCAGACGGCGCAGCTCTCCGGGGGGTCGACCAGGTCCGCGAACCTCACCACCGGCAGGATCTCCCGCATCAGGGCCGCCGACACGGACGGCGCGGGCTCGCCGGAGTAGGCGGCGGCGGAGGCGGCGGAGGAGGGGGCGTAGGAGGAGGGGGGACGGGACGCCGGGTCGCGGGACCCCTCCGGGTCGAGGAAGCCGGGGAGGCCGGCGAGGTGGAAGAGGGCGGAGATGAGCCGGCGGAGGGCGGTGAAGATGGAGAGGGTGTCGAGGAGGAGCTTCGGGAGGAGGAGCTCGCTGTAGCACACGGGGAAACCCATGAGAAAGCTCCGAAATTTGGAACCGGAAACGAGTGGGAGAGCAGCAGAATCGGAGATGGGAGGATCGAGTGAGCGAAATGAGTGGAGTTCTTTCTTGCGGCTTCTGGGTTTCTGGGTGTGTTCTTGATGGAGGTGGAGGAAGTAGAGAGAGAGAAGAGAGAGAGAGAGAGATATACAGGAAAGAGAGATAGAGAGAGAGGTGGAAGATGGATCCGGTCTTGCTTTATGGGATTCTTTTCTTGAAAATAAATAAATTATTTTTGTTTTTTTTTCACGTGTATATTATATATATAATTTATATATATATATATATATATATATATATATATATATATATATATATATATATATATATATATTCTTGCAGTGGGAAGAGTGAAGAGGAACATGAGGTGAAGGTGCGGCCTGTTTGAGCTGTGTCTTGTCCACGTACATGTCGTTTTCTAGCATCCAGGTTATATGTATGAAATGCCATTATTTTTTTAACAAAATTCATTTTTTTACGGATGGGTTAAAATTCAAAAGTCCTCCTTTTAAAATTTCTGCTGTATATATATAAAATTGGGTCAATACCGTAAAAAACCCCACACTGATGTATCTGTGATAATTTTACTTTAAATTAATTTTTTGATCACAAAAAATTTTAAATCGGTACACCTGTGACAAATTTACTTCAAACTAATATTTTGACCACTAAAAACCCTAAACTGGTATATTTGTGATAAATTTACCCTCCTTTAGTTTCCGTTAAATTGAATTAATACAAAAAAAATTCACAAACTGTTACACCTATGACAAATGGAGGGTAAAATATAAAAATGGCACATCAGTCAACTGTCGTGTGTCATTTAACAAAGCAATTTGACAGTAAAACTTAACGGAAACAAATTGAGGGTAAATTTATCACAAGTGTATCAGTTTGAGGTTTTTGGTGCTCATAATTTGAGGTAAAATTATTACATGTATATCGATTTGAGGTTTTTCGTGATGTTAATTCTATAAAATTTATTTGTAAAAGTTCGGAGGAAGGGATTGGTGTTGGGTTCCAGTTGGTGAATTTTTTGCTTTGGCTTCGAGAACGAAGGGCCTTATCTATATCCATTCCTGAAGGGGCGATGACGTGACACGGGGGAAAAATGATGGTGGTGTTGAAGTTTCAAAGGAGTTCTAGATGATACTTGACCAGCAGCTACTTGCATGTCCCTCTAGCGAATCCATATCAATAGGAAATGGTGGGGGTCCTGATGGAGGGTTCTAGTCATTTTACTTTGGGATGTAGTTTGGTTTGAAATTGGATATAATTCGACTTTTAGAATTGAAACCTTTTTTTTGCGCTTTGTGGGGCAATCGATATTTTGGAAATTATAGCCTTTCGAGTCCTCGTCAATCACGTGGTCTCCGAACTTTTCTCGACGTGTAGCATCATCCCTGAATTTTTAATCGATTCTACTAATTCCTTGAATCAGTATAAAATGTTCAGCGATAACTAATGATTTTATTATTCGTTTATTAGCGGGTTCCTTTTCTTTATTAATTGAAGCAAAGAACGAGTACTTTAGTATAACTCATATGAATTTTCATTTGAATTTGTGAAATCACACGAAGAGTCCTTTCAAAGGTAACTCTTTAAATGTCCTTTTAATAAAACGGACGGCATATAACTGAATCCAAAATCGTCACCGAGACTAATCTCGACATATACATGTAAATCGCGTGAAGCCCTTTACATAATCGAATATGTCCGCAAATATTGATTTCTCAAAAATGCATTTAACAAATCCGACATACTCGAAAGCACATCGTGGTTTTCTAGGTTTTCTTTTCATAAAGATAAAGGTTATATTATAAACCCTTGAACCGAAATACTCGTGTGGCTCGACCATATTTTATGCAAAACTATCTTTTTTTTCCATCAACCTTCGTGGTCTTTTCCTAATTTTTTTACTGCATAAACATATCACAAACTAATAACACGAAGAAGATTGCATATCATGGCAAGATTTGAATATTGGCTAAGAATTTTTTATTCAACAGCTTTGTTTTAGGAAAAAATATATTCGAAGCTTCAGAGCAGCACCAAGGAATTAAAGAACTGAAAAGCTCCTCTTCAATCATCATTAACATTTGTCATGAAGAATATTGTACACATCTAGCCGACCCACGCTTTTTTTTCTCTCTCCTTAAACATGTGACTTTGGACAAGTATGTGAAGTTAATGTTGATGTTATATTATAATGACATTGCTCTTTCGGTTGCTAATTAATCTCGTCTAGATTGGAATGTGGTGTTGGGATTAGTTTATGGTGCGCTGGGATGGATTCGAGTGGAGAAAGGTGAGACGAAATAATGACAATGATGTGTGTGTATTTTTTTTTCCATTCATTTGGTTAATAATATAAGAAAGGAAATAGCTAGAAAGTGGTAGAAGCCTGAGTGAAAATAATTCCTTGGGAAATAATTACTCTACGAAAGAGGGTTTTCTTTTCTTCCAAAAAATAGATCAATAAGATACTATAATATATTAACTAACTTCTTTTGTTAGATAGAACGGATAATTGGAACGCTCGGACTCGTCTATATCATAACGCAAGCCACACTCATCCATGTGCGTCTGGTGTCGGGGGCAACCCTCAAGGGTTAGTATGAATGAGTAATATATGCGATCTGAATCTCAGATCTCTTACATCTAAATTATGTGCTTGATCACTCAACCAACCCCCTTTAGATTAACTACAATTGATCTCGTTTTAATCTATTCTTGTTTTTCTTTCATTTTGCATGAGCAAAGGTGAAGGAAATCATCACCATTTATTCTAATTTTACTTCAATTTTTCCTCTCTTATTTTTTCTCTCCAATCTTCTCTCCCCAACCATAATTGTCAAACATAGTGACCAACTGAACATGGCGCAAGAGATTGGGATGATCCTTTTGAAAGAGATGTACTAATGGTGGAGAAAGTACACCTCTCCCAAGAGACTGAAATGTCAGAAAGGGTTTGCTCTCTTGGTCATGGAAGGAAGAAAAAAAAAGTGAGGGGGAAAAGCAATAAATGAGAGGGGACCGAAAGACGGAGATTCTTCTTCTAAGGGGTAGATCAAACAATTGAAATGCTATTATTGAAGTGTCCTAGACGTGAGAAGTGGGCACCAAATGGAGGTCGCCAGATCAAATCAATTGGGAGGGGGGGCAGCCCCACACATCTAGACAAGCCATGCCCAAGGAAGGAACAATTCAATGGGGGTAAAGGACCGTAAGTCATGGCCTTGGTGGGTGATATTTGCTGTCTTTGGCACATCAGAAGTGTCCCTTTCCAATTCAATTTGATGGGGTTCAACTAACACATCAAGATGGACCGAAAGAGGGAGATTCTTCTTCTAAGGGGTAGATCAAACAATTGAAATGTTATTATTGAAGTGTCCTAGACGTGAGAAGTGGACACCAAATGGAGGTCGCCAGATCAAATCAATTGGGAGGGGGGGCAGCCCCACACATCTAGACAAGCCATGCCCAAGGAAGGAACAATTCAATGGGGGTAAAGGACCGTAAGTCATGGCCTTGGTGGGTGATATTTGGTGTCTTTGGCACATCAGAAGTGTCCCTTTCCAATTCAATTTGATGGGGTTCAACTAACACATCAAGATGGTCTTGATGGTTTGATTTTGGACATTACCCCCCCCCCCCTCTCTCTCATGTCCCCTTCATACTGTAGTAATTACAGCAATTACTTGTTGTGAAGCGCAGCTTTCCAACATGGAAATGGATCTATCCAAGAATTTTTCAAGCTCTTGGCTTGGCTTTTCCTTATGTTCACACATCACTAGCTAGGGTCCAAAAGAAATAAATGAACTTCTCTGGCAATGCACGTTCTGGATGACTTCTGTGCTCGGGGAGTTCTGATCACTACGCACGACTTCTGATTTGTATAACATTCACCAGAGGAAGAACACAAATGTATCATGCAATGTTTTCTAGAGTACATGATAAAAGTGAATGCATGTATCATGCAATAAGCAGTGGCTTGCACGAGCGCTTGTTTATGCCACTGTATACATTAATGTTTGTTTTTTGAAAGCCGACGCTTTGCGAAAAATATATTTGGTCTAATATGGTATAGGGAGAAATGTCGCATTTTCCAATCTGTATGCTCCACAATGAAAGTTACTTGTGTGTGTATTAGACACCTCTCTCCCCGTATTCTAGCCCTATGTCACCATTTGACATGGCGTGGGATGGGAAAGGAGATGGAAATCCTGCCCTGTCCCACATATGTAAATGTACATATTATCTATTATTTGGTAACTCCAAATCAAATAAAATTTCTCTAATTTTCTTATACTCTTAAATGCTATTACCACTAGGTTTCTCATTTCTTGAATCTCCCGAGGCCTGAATTCTTATGATCAATTTAAGTAATTTTCTTTCACAGTAATCATTTTGTGAGGTTTTTACATTATATTTAGGGCTTCGCTAGCATAATAGTTTTCGAGCCAGAGTAACGACATGTTATGAACCACACATTCTTGAAAGAGTGGACCCCATAACGATTTATAATTATTTATCATTTATTTTCTAGTGATCCATAACATGCTATTAATCACATAGTAGATTAGGGACTGTCACTTAATCATTTCTTTTGTATTTATTCCAATATTAGTAGATCATTTCCAACAACACTCCTAAAGCTATAGAGGCCATTTATCGTGTGCAATGTTGTTTTCCGCGCGCTTGCAGATATTAAATCATTAATTTCCAAAAATACCCTTTAAGCTATCCATACGTTTTATCGTGTGAACTTCTTTATTTGATGGATTAATTTTTAAATACCGACAAACCATCGCATACGGCCGAGATGGGGGGTGCTCAAGGGTATGGGGGTGGAGGGATCGCGTGTCCCTGCTCAATTCTCGTAGACTTAAAACCAACACCCTCCCTTCTCCCATATGTATACTTTCTCTCTCTCTCTCTCTACAAAGGCTACAAAGGCCTTCGTATGTTGTTGAGCCCTTTGGATCAATGTCAATTCAAGGCGGTTGACATTGTATTGACCTTAGTCTGAGATCGCTGATGCCCCTCACTTGGTTTGCGGCTTAAGTGTCTGTAGATCGACCTTAATATGAGGTTTTTTGCCGTGACCCGTGGCAACAATGGCGTGGGCTCGGAGGT